AAGTACATGACGCCATTATTTTATCTAATTTGATCCTTAAAACAAACCCATGAAGTTTTTTCCGTCCAATTTGTTGCTGACATCTAAAGGAAAATACTAAACAATTTGTCTTACTGTGTACAAGATCTTAAGGCAAAGAGAATTCAGATACAAGGATACTGATTATAAAACCTGTCTTTCTACTATATAAACTGTTTATTTTTATGTTGCTCTGGATTCAGTATTGTATTTAAGGGTGTTTTTTTGTTTGTTTTTTAAAAAATCTATGGTGAAAAAATTTAGTAAAACGTTTGGTTATTTTTATCATAGTAAGTAGATTTATAATTTCAAAATAAAATGGAGTATTTAAATGTCTTAGTGAAGATTTTATTCTCGTATCAATTGAAAGCTATAACAGTGTTTCTTAAAAATTTACTGAATTGGATGGGCATGGTGGCATGTGCCTGCGGTCCCAGCTACTTAGAGAGACTGTCAGAATCATTCGGGCCAAATTGCCTGGAAAAAGAACAGTAGTATTCAGTATTCAGTTAACAGCTTTCAAAGGAAGGTCTGAGGAAAAAGAAAAGACAAAGCCCAGCAGCAAATCTGGCCAGGGATCAGTACTCAGTATGAGTTAGTGCAGCCTGGAGGTCGTGGGCCCTGGAGGGAGGTGCTGCTCCTGCTCCTCTCCTCCGCTCTCCTCCTGTCCTCTCCTCTTTTCTTTTCTCTTCTTGCCTTCCCTTCCTTCCTGCTCCTCCCTGTCATCTTCTGTTTACTTCTTCTCTCCCCCTTCCCTCCTCCTTTTCTAGGCCTTGGAGTGGAAGCAGACACCTGTACAGTAGAACTGTTAAGCTGCTTGGCTTTAATTCTAAGGTTAATGCGTATTTCATGCTTTGGATCCTAAATAGATTTTTATGAAATTTCCATCCTGCTTTTCATACTCAGGTCTTACCACCCAGTTCTCACTCTGCATTTGTGGTCATTTTCCAAGTTCTTTAACATTCTCATGCTTGGTTATGCTGTTTCTCCTGCCCGAATGCCAGCAGTAATGTGTTACAATAATTTTTATTCTCACACAGAAAAGTGAGCCCTAGGATATTTTCGGTTCGCTGCTCAGTGACCCTGTCCCTTGATCTATTAGCCTGGTTTGTAGAATCTTTTTTTACCTCCTCTCACCTTTTGTCATTCCATCTTTCTTTGTCCTTTAAGAGAAAACCTGAATATCATCTTTGTGAGAGTTTCCCTAGATAACCCCACATCCTACCCCTCACATTGCTTTTATTTTAGAGCATGTGTAGAATTCCACCCCCACCCCCGGGATCAAACTTGGAACCTTGTGAGGCAGGTGGCAGGACCGCTGAGCTAAATCCCTGGCCCTGAGCATGTATAGATTTTATTGCTACTTTTTAAGTGTATCCTACCAAGCTCATTTCTCAAGGAAAGAAACCTAGATTTAAGTTTTTCATTTTTTACTTCCTTGCTCGTCATTCGTGCCTGGCTACTCAGTAAATGAGGTGGGACTGCATTGTCTTAGAGATTCATCTCAGTTCTAGAACTGTTTCTGGAATCAAGAACAGGTGGCAGGTGTGAAAGGGAGCTGGGTTGGGGAACACCAGAGATGAGAAGTGCCTTGGTCTGCCTCAGTCTCTCAGAGTCTAGCCCTGCTCTGTCATGTGGTAGCCACTAGCCAGCCAACGGCTGCTTAAATTTAAGCCAATTAAAGTTAAAATGAAAATTCAGTTCCTCAGCCATGCTCGACATCTTTGAAGCCCTCGGTGGACTCTTGTGGCTGGTGGGTAACTCAGATTACAACATTGCACTAACTGGAGCTTCCTGCCATTAGTTCCAGTAAACATCTTCTGTATCCCTTCCTAACTTTCCAGCCTTTTAAAATAGAATGAACAAATAAAGTGTAAAATAACAGGCAGGACTTCAAAAACATCTTCACTTGGCTGGTGGTCTTTATCTATGCCCTCAGAAGCCTGGTTATACCAGTCAACTTCCATTAATGATTGGTTAGTGGAAATTAGAAAAATCTTGTCTTAGTAGGAAATATACAGTACAATTTTAAGGATCAGGTCTACTTTCTAGTATGCATACTGATACTATTATAGAAGTAATCTTATTTTTTAGTATGCTGAGAAACCTCATTACATCAGCCCTTTTAATTTTTTTTTTTCATTTCCATCAGCCATAAATGCTTGACTGAAAATCTCTGAGCTAGAGCTTCTTTAAGAACACATAAAATAAAAACCATGACTGTCACAAATTCTGGATTATTTTTGGTAGGGTGAGCACAGCTTGTATAAAATCGTGTTATGAAACTTTTCATGGGTTTATGGTATTTGCAGAATATGCATTTTGTAGTCAAGCTGGATGAGAAGGACCCTAAAGAAAAACAGCCACAGTTTCAGAGTGGTGAACTGGCATGACTTGCATAGTCACAGAGGATTTGGTGGCCCTGACAGTGCAGCTGAGAAACATGCAGTGTGTGTGTCAGCACACTGGTACCAAACGCTAGAGGTCGGTGTTGTAGTTCAACATTTCCCCAGTGGCTGCTAAAGATTTTTCTGCTTTTAATCACCCAGCTAGTTATAAACTTTTAACCATTGTGCTTCTTTACACTTACAGAAGTGCTTACTTGAGCAAGCACCTTTTCCGGAGAATTATTAGCCTCTCTGTAGTATCAGGATTAAAATGTACTAGTGTCTTTGTTTTTCAACCAACTGCATCCTCTAAATTGCTTCTCCATCTTCTGGTACAGGACACGCTTCTTAGGGAAAAGTTGCACGGCTCTCAAATTTGGTAGACACACAAGTTTTAATTGAATCAAAGTGCCACCAGCTTTTCTTTGGAAAAATTTAGCTACCTTTTCATAATATGGTGGGTGGCGATAGAGTTTTTGTGTCACCTGTGTTTGTACACAAAGCCTGGAGTCACGTAGCTTTAGGCTTCTTAAATTGACCCCTCATGAAGGATGCACTGAATATGTGCTAAATTAATTTGTATTTAAAAATTATTTCCTTTAATATTTTTGTACTATTGGCATGTTTTAAGATTGTGCATTTAAAGAATATAAATTATTATTTTTCTTGATTTAACTTTTATGCAATGTTAATTTTTTGAAGATACTTCATTTTTCCTCATGTTCTTGGATATGTTTTTATTTGCTGTTTTCTATTATAAATGTTTATTTGAATGTATCAGTACTTATATTTATGTCTCTGTTTCATAAATTCTCAGCGCTTAAAAAATACAGGTATGGATAGGTTCAATATCCCTTACCTGAAATGCTTGGGACCAGAAAGGTTTTTCATACTTCAGAGATTTTCATACTTTGAATATTTGCAGAGTCTTTGCTGGATCCCTCATCCAAAAATCAAACTCCAGAATGCTCTGATATACAAATTTTTCAGAGCTCCATTTGCTCAAAAGTTTTCAGATTGTGGAACATTTTTAAATTTTAATTTTTAGATTATGGATGGTCAATCTGTACTGTGTGAAGGGAATACCAAAACTGCAAGTATTAAAATGTCTAGCTAAAAGTCTGGTGTAGCCGATCTTCCCCCAGCTCTGTGGTTTGAACTCAGGAGACTAAAAGATCAGTTCAAATTTAATAGTCTACCCTACCCTCTCTTCTTTCATATATATGTTGTTGAAATTAATTGAAAAAGAAACTGAGACTTAAGGACAGATTTCGAAGCAGTAACAAGTCAGGGGTCCTCAGAGGGAGGGGACGCAAGAGTGAGTGAGAAGCTCGGCCTGGCCTCCTCGGGTTGAGGCCCCGGCTCTCGCAGTGCGGGTGGGAGGCCTTAGCTCTGCTTAGATTGCAGCCCGGAGGCCACACAGACAGATTGGAGGAAGCAGGAGCATCAGGAAGCCTGCTTATTTGTTTTGCCTTAATATTTGATCTTAATGAAGAAATTGTTTTAATTACCATTGCTATTTTTTGTGTAGCAAAATAGTTTGGGAGGAATAGTTTCAGGTAGTGACATTTTTCTGCTAATCTTTTGAGAGTTGTCTGGTCTGCAATCACCCAGAGGGACCCTCACATTTGTTACTCAGGGACGTAACTAAGTGGCTGGAAACTGCTCGCAGCCATCTTTGTTACCTTCTCAGCCGCCTCACTTGGCTCTTCTGCTTGCTGAGAACATCCTAGTTCCTGAGCTAAGCTGTTTCTCCTTTGAAGTATTTCCTAATAACCTAACTTCGTAGGAAACAGTCGTGGATCCTGCAGGGGCTGCTTTTGCTGGCTAAATACAGTTCACTTGAGAAGGTGGAGAAAGGTTGGTAAGCCTATGGCTACCAGAGCTGCTTAGCAAATTGATTTTCCTACAGAGCCTCCTTGCTGTTCTTTCTGCAGTCTTGGACCCTAGTCATCTGACTCTTACACGATGAACTAGTTTGGTGTAACCTGTACGTACTGTCTGGAGTAATTCTGCATGGTGAAATTCAGCCATGCGCCTACACTGTGTAGGTTTAGCCCAGAAGTGGGTATTTTCATTCAGGAACCCAGAAGTGCAATTTTATGTTATCTTGTGTGTTTTCTGCACACAAATCCAGAATTGTATATATCTTGGCCAGTCCAGTAGAGAAGTTATTTTAACCCTGTACCATTTCTTAGTATTTAAAGTTCCTGTTGTTGCTGTGATGTCGTCTTTGTTATTTTCTTCAGGTGGTTCAGTGCTGCAGTTGGGGTCCACACGCTGGAGTACAGTGTGCCTGGCCTCCTGACAGCGGTGAACAGGGTGGTACGGGCCGTGGGATTTGTTTATGCTGACTGGCACCTGGGTCTGGAAGCCACTGTGACCTCCCTGACTGCAGCAGGATTAGGTCTTCGGAGCCAGTCGCAGTGGGAGAGCTGCTGCCTTTGCCCCCCAGCATTATGCCGCAGTGGGGCTGGGAGGAGCCAGAATAAAATGATGAAGGAGCAGAGATGGGGGAACTGCTTGCGGGCCAGGGCTCTGGTCTGCTGGGCAGCCTGTGCCGGGGCGCTGGGGTGTGACCTGTGTCTCTCCCAGGCTCTTCGGGAAGCTGTGGGCTGTCGGATGATGAAGCAGTGGAGGCAGACAACGAGGAGGATGCTGAGCCCCGTGACGGAGAAGACAAAAACGCTGCAGACCCCGGCCTTGGCACCAATACAGGCTGGGCAGACGCCATGGCCAAAATCCTTAATAAGGAAACTCCTAAAAGTAAACCTACCATTCTCATCAAAAACAAAGAGCTGGAAAAGGAAAAAGAGAAGTTGAAGCAAGAAAGACTAGAGAAAAGAAAACAGGTGTGTCTTACCAGGGGTCTTGGACTAGGTTTATTCTCATCTGTACCATGTGTCCCTTGCAGTGTTTGTCCAGTTAGCATTCTGATTTTTAACTTGTTTTTAATGTGGGGTGGGCAGCCAAGGTTACATCCAGAAACCTGGCCCAAATTACTCCTTTGACCTCCTTCACTTTTTAGTCATCCAAACAGAGCAATAAAAATGTAAACTTGGCAGAAGTTTATCTTTTCAGTCCAGTAATTATACACGAGGCAGTGACTCCTTTATCTAAATACATTGTTCGCTTTAGCCATCCATGTGCTGTCTTCATTAAGTGCTGGACTCACAGATGCATGTGACATTTTTTTACTAAAAACCTTTAATATAAATCAGTGAAGATGTCCCAAGTCAGATTGGTTCTAATTTTCAAAACCAATGATTTGCACGTTAAACTAGAATTCATTGTGCTTTTGTTAAACCACTAATGATAGAGGTTAAATTAATGAAATCTATTCATTTAAGCCAAAAGTTGGACGTAAGTGTGCTGTTGCATGTTACTGAAATAAACATCATAGGTTTTTAATGGCCCTTGTGCTTGATGAAGTATCTTTGTGTTTACATATTTGGTTGCTAAAAGAAGTATGATTTTACAATGAAAGAGAAATATCTTTATATAATTGTACTGGCAGTATAGAAGTACTGACTTCCAAGAAGTGCTTTAGAGATAAAAATGAAAGGAAAATAGATTTCGCGTGGCATATGTTTCCTCTTACGTTTACCATCCCTTTATCTTGTTTCCAGAGGAATATTTCCTTTGTTCTTACTACTCATTGCTCTGTGTGATAGCCTACTAAAGATGGAATTTTTCAAGTATTGTTCTTAGAAACAACATACAACGTGTACTTATTCATTTGACATTCTTTTAATCTAAGATAAGTTTTGTCTCTAAATCTTATAGATGGCTTTCCAGAGGAAGATTTGAATCTTTGTATATTATTTGGCAAAAACTAGAAGAGGCTTTAAAAAATCAGAATCTTTATTACCTCTAGTCTCAAACTTCCCCGAGAGCAGGAACAGCACTTAGAAGCCGAGCAGCAAGGAGCGAGGCCGTAGCTGCGCCAGGGCTCCGAGCTTTGCGCATGGGTGGCGCAGTCCACTGTGAACGCATGCACGCTGCGTGGCCCAGAAACACAGCGCGGCAGCCGCAGGGGCTCTTGGAATAGCCTTCCTATAGCCCAGACTGTGGAAATTATACTGTGAGGGTTTTTTCTGGCATAGTCTGATAATGAACTCATGACTTAAAATGAATTATCTAATTTGGAAATGAGTGTTTTTATAACAATCAGGTTGATGCTTATAGTGAGCAGGAATTCGGTTTTATTGTTAGGCATTTTCAGTAACTCCAAATGAGAGGTAAGTAGGGAAAGTATGGAACATTTTTCTATTTCTATTACTCTGCGGATGCTTTTGATGTTCATTAAGGTTGCTTCTAGGTGATCAGTTCATCCTGTGAGTGTATTTGATATTTGTCTGATGCTGGCCCCTAAAAGAGACCTGAACGGTCTGACAAATCATGTGCCTAGACGAGAATACTGCTGAGAGATGATTTCGAACCAGGGAGATTTGCTTATTTTCCAGTTCCTCTTCTACTTTTACACAATAGTAGAGAAACTGTTGCTGCTGTTTGTGACAATACGCTGTCAATAAATATGGCAGGAATTGTGTTCAGACAGATGCAAGAGGAAAAAGGGATTTAAATGACTTCATGCAAAGAAAACTATCCGCTATATGCTGTCTTGATTGTTGCTCTTCTTTTAAAAGCTGACACGTGTTCTTAATTTGGGCTGTTGAGGGAGCTGCTTTCTGGAAATAAAGAGAAATGGTGCTGGCTCGTGTAGTTGACCAACTCGGGTGGTGTGGCCTGTTCCTCTCCTGACTCGGTGATGCGGGTCAGGCATGTGGCTGCCCTTGCACCCTCCCTGTGCAGCCTCCTGAAGATGCTGGTCACCCTCCAGGGCCCTGCTGTCAGATCCCGGGCAGAGACATCCCCAGTGCTTCTCCTATCCCGCTGGGTGCCAACCACAGGTGCTCAGGGCTGAGCCCTAGGCTGGGTAAAAACCCAGTCCCTGTGACAAACTAAGCCAGAATGATTTATTACTACTCTGTCCTTCCGCAGAGTGTCATATCAAAGTTTGCTGCACTTTCAAAAATGCCTAACGCCCTTTCACCTAACAATATTTTATAACACAGCTTGATAAGAAGCGAGAGTGGGAAATGATGTGTAGAGCAAAGCCAGATGTTGTCCAAGACAAAGACACAGAGAGGAACCTTCAGAGAATTGCAACGAGGTAAGACAGTGGTTTTTTCTTTTCAAAAATAACTACACTGAAGCTTTGATAGTGGTCTATTTTTGATCACATTTGATTCTGAAGCTCTTGCTTTCTCGAAGCCAAGTGACATCGCTTGTAGCTTGAACACTGAAACCAACTGGAGATTCTGAGGCCTCAGGAGGTAAGAATGCAGTGTGATTACATGTGCATTTGGTGCAGTTTTTCTTAGTCAGACCTCTTGCTGCACCCTTCGTGACGGCTGTCTAAATTTTCGGCACTGAATCATTTTTGTTGTCTTGCACTGTGTTTATGGGATAATATGTTACACATTATGGCAGCCCTGTGCTGTCCCTTCACTCTGCTTTTTAAAAAATCATCAGCCCCCAAACATTTATCTGATGCTGTCTGTCCAGAGGCAGATAGGGTTCCGTGGCTGCTGGGTGGTCCTTGCCCATTCATCTGTAGGACTTGGGGTCTCATAGTAGAGAGGCCTGCTGTGTTGGGAACACACAGCAGGAGATTGTTGGGGGGCTGCGAGGCCCTAACAGAGGAGCTGACATTTGAACTACTGCTTACTTAAAGAGTGAGTGAGCCAATTCCATTTAGTGAGATTAACTAGATTCTCAGGCACCACAGTTCTTTCAGTCACTTTCTAACCCAGTTGGTGCTGGGGTGTGGTGACTCAGGATTTGGCTGATGGAGCAAACTCTTCCGGCCGGGTGTGCTGCTTCATTTCTCTTCCTCAGCTCCTCTGTTCAAAGGACAGTCTTACACCTGGCCTTTGTGGTTCATGAACTCAGAGCAGTGAGGGCCATCATACAGTAAATTTGTGCCCTGGCCACCTCACTTGCTGCTTCTGGTCCTGGCCCACAGAAGGGGCTGGAATGCTGCTCTCCTTATAAGTTCACAACAGCGAACCGTTAAAGTTGTTTGCATGCTCGTAGATGACAGGAGAATTCTGGACCAGAGACAAAGAGCTTTATCACTCAGGACAAGGCAGTCCCAGAGCTCGGTGCCTGCGGTTCTCACCCCGGGGCACACAGGTGCCCTGAGCAGACGGGATATGCTGCATGGGTTGTGTTTCAGGAGAGGAGTACTGTGCTGGAGACCGTGACGCAGTGATTAGTAACAGGCCGTCTTTGTCTGGGAGAAGTCCTTATTTCATCTGTTGAGGTCATTTACTGCTGGCACAGCCCTGAGAAATTACCTGGGAAGCAGCATTTGGCTGTCAGAGCCTTTTGTTTTCCAAAAGTCCAGCAAGAATGTGGGGCATATTCAGCCCCATAGCAGATTGCCTCTTCTCAGGGTTAGTACAGAAAAACATTCACAGATTATAGAATTGTAGAACTGTAACAGTAAAAATAAAATGTGAGCCACATAGGCAACTTAAAATTTCTTCGTAGCCTCATTGAAAAAAGTAAAATGAAAGATGTGAAATTGATTTCAATAATATATAATCCAGTATATTGGAAATATTTCAGCATGTAACCGATGTAGAAGTTATTAATGAAATGTTAAACTTCTTTTCATATTAAAACTTTGAAATCCAGGACGTTTTACACTTGTAGCACAAGTCAGTTCAGAGCAGTCAAACACCTTTCCAATGAGTCCAGTGGCTTCTGTGTTGGACAGGGTGGGTGGTGAGCATTAGAGTTCATCTTTGAATGAATGTGTATGGGACAGATTTTTAAAATAAATACCCTTAAAATAGAGTGTAGAGGGTGGGGTTCTGGGGATCTAACCGGGGGTCTTGCATAATTTACACAAGCATTCCTCCACAGAGCTTTACTACTAGCCCTAAAAGTAGGATTTTATAATTGTTTTCATAGCACAAGAGTTCAGGGTTTCAGGGCAAGTTACTCAGATATTTTTCCATTTACAGATGAAATTAAGATGCAGCAAATCTTTCCTGGGTCAGATGCTTTGACAAGTATTGTCTGTGCTTTCATTCGCTGTAACGCCTTCACCAATTATATGTATTTTGAGAAATGCTTTTGTGTTGAAAATAATTGTTAATTCTAATTGCACTGGAGTTAATTTAGAAAGATGAAAACTGTTTAAAAAATCACGTGCCAATCTACATATATCTATTCTCTAATGAGAAATTTATACTGTTAGTAAAATACCTGTCAATTTTTCAGATCCATGTAACAGTTCATTCAGTTCTTTAATTTTAATGACTATTACATGCTTACCTCTCTTCTAGACAGAAAATTCCCTGATCCTAACCTCACATGGTTGACACATGTAATTGTTCTGGTCACTTGGTCTTCTGCAGGGGTGTGGTGCAGTTATTTAATGCTGTTCAGAAACACCAAAAGAATGTTGATGAAAAGGTTAAAGAGGCAGGAGGCTCTGCTAGAAAGCGTGCTAAGTTGGTATCAAGTGTTTCCAAGAGAGATTTCATCAGTGTTCTCAGAGGAATGGATGGAACTACAAATGAGAAGAGTTCGACTGGAAAGAACCCAAAGGCCAAACAGGTAAGATTTTACAGAGGGTTCAGTACATCAGATGTTTTCACTTTTTGAGATGGAAATAAAAGCTGTAGAATTACAGGGTTTTTTTATTATTATTATTATTATTGTTAAAATTCCTATATGACCCCAGTCTAATTTAAAAGTTTGAATTCTTTAGTTTCATGATGATTTAAAACCAGGTATAGATGTCACCTGCTGTTAAACTTGGGAGCCTAACAGATAAAAGTGAGTTCATTTAGCAGTGGTGCTTCCTTCTCTGTCCCCAAGGCCACACCGGCACAGCTGAGAGAGAGGCCCAGCAGGGCACACTTCACTTGAAGACTTTAACTCACAGAGATAGTCGTGAAGATGTATAACTTCCAAGATAGGAAGAGTCAGTGCTGTAGGAAGGTGGAAAGTCGTCCCTGTGTTGTGGCAGCTTGGTGATACTGGTCTGATCAGGAGAGTGAGGTTGTGCATACGTACCCTGATCTTTGGCGTAAAAACAGCCTTGCTTCTCCTGCCCTTTGACATGGACTGCAGTAGTTTCTGTTTTAAAGCTGCCGGTAAAAAGTTCTGTAATGGACTCTAATCCTTAACTGGTTTTAAAAATCAACAGTGTAAATACTGAATAAGCTGTTTCAAGCCGACTAATCTGTGGTATTTTGGTATTGCAGCCACAGGAAATGAATAGAACATGTCTATGTTGAAAAATAGATTTTTCTTAGAAATTTGAAGTTAATTGTTCACTTCCACACACACCCCACCCCCTTTGCCCTTTTTTCTCTCATTCAAGGTCCACCGCTGTTCTGATTGCTAATTTCTTTTCTCTTGGAAGCTTGCAGAAGCTTCTTACTCCTATTGCTCTGGAGTCTTGCAGGGACACCCTGGGTCCCTGTGTCATGCTGAGATCTTGCTGGGCTGTGACCTTGGTGCAGTAACGAGTTCAGGTTTCTCACTGTGGGACTCGGGGTTTGATGACTTCTGTGCCTCTGTGTTCTGTTTTGGTTTTGGGGTTCCTGTTAGGTGGCTTTTGGATCTTTGGGATTGATCCTTTGGTCTTCAGAACTTCTTTTCCTCCAGTTTTCTATGACTGTCTTTCCTGAAAAGTTCTTTTATTTCTAATTCTTATGTTGGATTGAAAACATTGATTTCATGTTTTTAGATTTTGATGACTGTTTTGTACCCTTTAATTGTTTCTTGGAGTCTTACTTTTACCTGAGGGATATGGTATATGCCAAATTTTTCTTCTGCTCTGAATCGTGAGTTAGTATTCCATGTTACTGATCCCGAATATGATGTTTGTTTGAGGAAACTGGTGCATTTCATCTAACATATCTTGATCATTTTCAGCCCCAAAGGACTAATCCTAAAGATCATCAGTCCTTTATTTTATTCATTTATTTATTCTTTAGGTTTCCCATATAGGCTAAAACATGCAATATTTCATTTTCTGAGCCTGGCTCATTTCACATAACATGATGGTTTCCAGTTCCATGCGTTTTTCTGCAGATGATATGGTTTCTTTCTTTGTGGGTAAATAATGTAAAAAACATTCTATATATACCGCATTTCCTTTAGCCATCATGATTTGATGGACATCTAGGCTGTTTCCACATCTTATTTATGTGAAGTATACCACTCTTAAGTGTGTGTATGTGTGTACCTTGTAGTGTGCTATATTTAATTCAGGAATATACTGAGTGGTATAGCTAGATCAAATCATAGCTTTATTTTTAGTTCTTTTAGGAATCTCTGTGCTGATTTCCATGGTAGTGGTAATTGTTTACATTCCCAACAAAAAGTTGGAGGGAATTTTCCTGAATCTTCACCATTGTTGTTATATTCTTAACGATGGCTATACTGACTGGGGTGAGATGGAATCTCAAAGTAGCTTTGATTCGTATTTCCATGGTGGCTGAACATGTTGAACATTTTTTTATATTTGTTACCTTTTTGTACTTCTTTTGAGAAATGTGTATAGAGTTAACTTGCCTGTTTTTGACTGAGTTCTTTGTAGGTTAATTTTTTTTTAGTTCCTTGTGTATTCTAGATATTCATCTTCTTTTGGAAGAATAGCTAGTCATATTTTGTCCTATTCTGTAAGTTGTTGCTTTCTTCTGTTTCCTGTGCTGTACAGAAGTTTCTTTAATTTGATTTAATACTATTTGTTGATGTTTGATATTATTTCCAGTGCAATTGGAGTCCTGTTCGGGAAGTCTTTTTGTCTGTGTCTATGAATTCAATTCATTCCTCAATGTTATTGTCTAGCAGTTTCAGTTTGTGGTTTTATATCTGGGTCTTTGATCCACTTTGATTTGATGAGCAGGGTGAGAGATAGTGATCTAGTTTCTTTTTTGTTCTGTTTGGTTTTGGTTTCTGAGCTGAGTCTCCTGTGTACTTCAGGCTGGCCTTTAACTCACTGTGTAGCCCAGGATGGCCTCAGACTCGCAGCAATGGGTTCTGTTCAGTCTTCTGCATGCAGATCTGTTTTCCTAGCAGTATTTGTTAACGAGGCTGTCTTTTCTGTAGCACTTGTTTTTGGCCCCATTTGGTCCTGTTTCTGGGGTCATTTCTGCTGTGCATTTGGTATTAGTCTCTCTAGTTGTAGGTCTCCTCAAGTGAATGGTGATCCTCACTGTTCATATTTAATAGTAAAGTACTAATGAGTTGACTGAGAGTTCAAACCCAGAGTTTGTGTTTGGTGAGCTTCACTAATGGATAATGCAACAGAGTTGGCCCTTTGGGGATGGATACCCAAGGGTCAGTTTTTACAGGTTTCTTTGGGAATCTTCCTTTTTTTTCTAGAGAAGAATCCTACAGTCTGCTGCTATGGGTAAGACATCTGCTGCCTCTTCTGGGCAGAGTATAGAAACAGTTTGGGGGCTCTGGCACGCAGTGTGTAGACTTGGCACTGACCGATGTTCCCGAGTCCCAGACCTCTCTGTTCCTGGCTTGTGGGGACTAAACTTCCTGACTTTGTTGGTACCATCCGGAGGATCTAGCGGCCTCTGTAGGCAGTGTTCTCTTTTATTACCCATCTCACACCATCTCCTCTTCCTCCCAAATTGCCTCCAGTCTTGACATAGATTCATGGTCTTTTACTTAGACACCAGTTTCTCTTTCCTTGTGGGTGGTTTCTGCTGTTCTTCCCAGGTATCATGTGCCCAAAACTGTCATGATATGTCTTACTGTTTTCTTCTATACCCTTTAGACCCTTAAATTAATTTTGTTCTTTTGTCTGTATCAAGTTAAATGCATCTTGGTGTTTCACTGAAAGATCTCCTAAAAGAAGCAATGTTTATCTTATTGCCTCTTATTTCTTTAATGGAATTATTGGTAGTCTTAGTGTGATAAAAAATATTTTACAAAACATTAAACCTTTAAATGTTTGATAGTAGTGCTTTCTGAGCTTTGATACGAATTCCTAAAAAACTTGTGTGTAAACATTCCTTAAGATTGGAGCCTTATGAAAAGGAGATTGTCCATGTAATAAAGAAGGTATAGACATCTGTGCTTCTCTGGATTAGCAACTTCTTTGAGAGCAAGCTTTGTGATTATCTCCACCCTTTGTGACCTTTAGGTGTTCAGGTATGTGTGCGTGTTTCTTTTAGCATTGTTTCCTTGAGAATGAGGACAAGAAATTGTGTGTGTGTTCAGTTTGTCCAGTACATTAATTTTTGTTTTGTACACCTGGTGCCCAGAGTTACTGAGATCAATTTCTCTGAAGTCACGCAACTAAGATATTTGAGTCTGTTTTCAGGGCATGTGGAATTGCATACTGTACATCTTTAATTCACTTTATACTTTTCTGTTGCTGTGAGCTACCAATTCAGCAGAAGTAGTTACTGCTAAATGTCTGCTATCCCATTTACAAATGTGAGCATTTTAGGTTGGTGGAAATTCCCTAATCTAAAACGTGGATCCTCTCCCTTGCACCAGGTAAATGAGGGACCAGAGCCCAGGGTTGATCCCTGGGTATTGGCTCTGAGCAATTAAAAAGAGAAAAAAGATTAAATTGTATTTGGGACACTGTTTAGGGGGTCAACAAAAACTTACATTTTGTTTAAGTTTTCATAAAAATTTAAGCTTTATCTCTTAAATGAATAGTGTCTTCCCTCCTTCAAAGCATGTACCTTTCCAGAGAGACTTGTTTTTTCAGTTGTTAAAATAATCAAGTTTTTATTAATGTAGAATTCTTGGTTTTTTCCTTTACCTTCATAATTGTAATGATTCCTTTAGCTCTTTTCTTTAAAAGCTAACCAAATGCCTCTTAGATTTCATGACATTTAATTCTCTTTCCATAAAGGCAGATGTGGCCCGTTTTAAATCTGAGTCTTAAAGGAGAATGTATTGGCAACTGTGCTACCTGTGCTCTTAAATTCAGACTTTCTGCAAGGTTTCATTTACCTGAAATTTCCAGCCTATAATTTCAGGTTTTATTTTGTTGAAGTGAAGCCACAGTAAATTTGTAAAAAGGGAAAATGCTAGCTGGTTTCTGTAAAAATAGTTTCCTTAGTGACTTCAGGGCAGCAAAGGTCAATTGAAGTGCCTAAGAAAAAGCTGCTGGAAGGGGCTTGGTGTCTTCCTGGTTTTATGATAGGGTCTCTTTAAACTAAATGTCAGCCATAGGGACAAGTTGGGGTGCCATGTTGTATGCACTTCTCTCAAATGGAAACCTTGTACTTTGTTCTTAGCTGGGTATTCAGTGATAGGAAGGACTGCTTTTGAAATACCAGGCATCTTTGGGAGCTGTAACCTTCTTGGTGTCTTGTAACCCTGTCTGAATGAAGCTGTATTCCTGTGATTCTTAGACCTGCAAAGAGGGGATCCTGGGAGTGGGAGGTTTCTCACGCAGGTCTGAAGGCCTCCCCGCACTTGGCAGGCCTTGCTTTTCCAGGGGAGTTGGGGGTGTGAAAGGCTGAGGGGGGGGGCCGACCTGCCCTTAAGCTGCCCCTGCATGGCAGGCAGCAGTGTTTTATTCTCACATAAAAGCTGCTCTGACTGGAATGTGTGGAATCCTA